ATGTACCGCCTCTATTGGCCCATTCCAACTAGGAGGTAGATCCCGATCACATCACTACCCCCCCCCCCCTCTCTCCCTCTCCTCTCTTCATCCAATCAGCGGGGGAAAACGGCACGAATATGTACGCTTCACGAAGATCACGCCATCGACGATGACGTCAACTCACGCTTTGATTCGACGAGAAGTAACCAGTTGGGGTGCAGAGCACACGGAGAACCGGCGGACGATGATGGCGTCACCTGGATGACCATCGAGGATTCCAGCAACAGACAATTGCAATTGAAGTTGGCGTCAACATGAACTTTGGCTGGATTGTTTGTTGATACGCTTGGTTCCTCATGCATCACTCTGTTCCACCATGACATGCAATCAGGAGATCACATAATTTTGAAAACCTCTGCGCGTCACATATGTGACGAACCACTTCCCGAACCCGTGCTATCTTTCATACCCCTTTTTGCTTGTATTATACGAACCCCATAAAAACCCCATTTCGTTTTCTTGATTTTGGGTACCGCGTTCTTGGCTCCCATCTTTCGAAAAGCTTTTTCGACTCCCGGGTTCTGCTTTTCCTTTCTGCAATTCGGGAAATACATAGGAAATTACGTGCGCCTTAGCGAGCGCACTATGAATTGGGCTCGACAGTTGGGAATTCCGAGATAAGCAGAACATCGACGTGTCCTTTTCGTGTGTTCGAATGTTATTGGTTGCGTTGGGGAAAACTCTCGGAATTTTGTGCGATTACGAATAGGCATAGGATTTTCTTTTCCCGCGTCCCTCTTTCACGCGCGGATATGGTGATTTCAATTTTGAATTAGGCTGTAACTGTTTCGGTGCCTTTTTTTCTCTTTTTGTTGACGGCGCCACACGTGCAAAACTTTCTCCTCTCTGTCCCCCGCATCGCTCCCTCCCGCGCTCCTTTCCCCTTCTCCCTCCTCTTTCTCTCGCCCCGTAACTGTTTTCTTTCTCTCTCTCCCTCTCCCRCCTTGCTCTTTGCGCGCCCCTTTTCCTTTCTTGATCATCTGAATCTTGGACCCGTCTTRCRCCACTTCTCGCGCCTTTTCTCCCCTCACCCTCTGAGTCTGGCGCACGACGCCCGGTCRATCCATCGATAACTCCCGCTCGCCAATCACGTGCGTGGATCAATAGGACCTTCCTATTGCGTGGCGAATCTGATTGGTTGAACCTTGAGTTTCGAGGGATCAAYATGGCGTTCGTAGAGCATTCTTCTCAAAGTYTTYTCCTCCTGCTTCTCCTCTTACACCTCAGCTTTCCCGTCGTTTTCTCCCCCTTCTATCTCCCCTGTCGCAACTATAAAACCCGCAAGCGCGTCCGCAAATCTCTCTTATGTTCTCGACTCTCAAGCCAACTTCCGGGAAGCAGTGGCTAGGCAGAGTGTTTGGTGCGAGTCGGAAAGTCCTGTCGGACTGACGGTAGGCTGGCCGGTTGCGCGCTAGATTATCACGACGGACTGTGGGATCTGGGCGAACCGTGTCGAGTCTACGACAGCTGGGTGACGATTGCAGTAATGGGAGTTAGCACGCGGCGACTGGGATCGTCGGTGCGGGTATGAGGATCGATGATTGGAGTTCAGTGAGTTATTGGTCGGGGGCCATATTGGAATTAACGGCGAATATGCCTTTGTTATTGCAGATCTTTCTCTCTGACAACGCCGAGCTTCCCTCTTTTGGGTTGTGTCATCTCCTATCTCGACTCTCCCCCCCTCACCTTCCCCTTCTCCTCTATCTTTTAATAATGATGTGTCTCGATGCTTCTCTCCTTCTCTCTTTCCCTCCTCTGGATGAGTATGAATCTGTATGCTTTCCTTGCGTGAAAGAACTTCTTCCGGAACTCTTCCATTAGTTTCCTGGGTAATCCTCCCGCGCAAGGACCCCGTCTTCTTGTCTTGTGAACGATGGATGCGTGTGTAC